ATTCGCCATTTTAAAACTCGTTGATGATTTTTCTCTAACCATGGGAGAAAAATGCAGAATGTCTATTTTGCCTAAATAAATTAGCCTTGAATATAAAAAGATTATATTATAAAATTATTATATTATTTAAAAATTGTTACATTTTTTTAGTTTTGCTTTTGGGACAAACTTCAGTTATTCACTAAAATATTTCAAGAACTTCTCAATTTTCTAATTTTATGATGCAATGAAACTCTTAGTGCACTGGTTAAGGCTTCCCTGATGTAATGTCTAAAAAACCTGTCATATAAATGCTTTTATCCTCAAATCCCTAAGTTGCCTCCTACATCACCAAGATTTCTAGAAGAGCACATGAAATTTATGACAAAAACTTTAATCCTTTCCTAGAGGTTCAATGTAGTTTTCCCATCACAATTTTTCCACTCCTGCACATTATAAGTGTTGCACTAGAAGGCACTATAAACTTCAGCTATTCACTAAAATATATCGAGAACTTCTCAATTTTCTAATTCTATGATGCAATGAAACTCTTAGTGCACAGGTTAAGGCTTCTCTGATGTAATTTCTAAAAAACCTGTCATATAAATGCTTTTATCCTCAAATCCCTAAGTTGCATCCTACATCACCAAGATTTCTAGAAGAGCACACGAAATTTATGACAAAAACTTTAATCCTTTCCTAGAGGTTCAATGTAGTTTTCCCATCACAATTTTTGCACTCCAACACATTAGATGTGTTGCACTAGAAGGCATGCACCAATGCAGAAATTCTGATCTTGCTACAGTTCATTATTTAGTTTCAAAATTCATTCTAAAGCACTTTTCTTTTCTAAACACGCCCATAAAAGACAAGAAACGCAACTTTGAAGATTCAAAGCAAAGTAAGCTGGTATGCCTAGCAGAAGACTTAATAATAATAGTATTAATAATAACAATGATAATGATGATGAAAATAATAAAGATTATGGATTGAAAAGAAGTTAAGATTTGTCTATGACAATTTCACAGCATGCGCATGTGTGCACACCTGCAGATTTCCTGTACAGTCAATATGTGGTTGAGGTTCTTCTTTTGCAGGAGCAGCCTTCAACAAGCCCTTGACATTAAGCCCCTGACGTTGCAGAAGAGCTATTAAATCATGGAAAAAAGACACGAAAATTAGCATTTCAAATAAAAATTATCCAAACAATGTAATGACATAATACAAAGTATTTCTACTTGAGATACCCATATAGCAAGAACTAAAACATCAGCAGAGTACTTTGATTAATTACCAGCAACTTTGCCTCTACCATCCTCTGACACAGCCACTGCAGTTGCCTGAGGCCAGGAGTCAAACTTCGACCGAAACATCACAGTTTCGAATCCTTCAATTACACGAATTATGTGGGATTTTGGTCGATCAGAACCACGGAGTAACTCCTGTTCAGCCATATCAACAACAAGAGAAAAGTGTATGAGAATTTTTTAATTAACATTACAACCTTTGTTGGAGAACAAAAGACAAGTAGTTACATCTGCAGCTCCACTTGCACTCTTTCTTTCCTCAAGAGAAGTATTTCTTCCCATCCATACAAAAACTTCCAACCCACAATCTAGAACATAGCATTTGTTTGTATCCAACAATTCTCTTGTCAAAGGGTCAGCCTCAACAGGTTCAGCCTGCCCCTTCTCAACACTTAAAAAGCAAAATTGATTTCATCAGAGCAACAAAGAATTAGAATTGTGATTGGAACCAATTGTATTTTTATGTTCGCTTCAGTAAATAAATAAGAATTACTTTCCAATTTCAACTTTTGGTTTAAAATGATTTAAAACAGAATAAAAAGGGACTTAAAAATTAAAAAGACTAAATTACTCCTAACATTTTCCATCAATTACTTTTAAAGAAAAAATATCTCTTGACTATTACTAAATTATCTTACATATAATGTCTAAAATAATATTTATGAATTATACTCAAATTTTAGATTAAGTAAAATGTTCTTCAGACCCAACTCTCCCTTTTTTTGTTCTTCACTTGGATCCCCTATTTCTGGAGCTACAGGATCAAATGCAAAGAAATCAAAAGCAGAGGTGCTGCTTGTGGTGTGGCGGTGTAAGAGTAGTTGCTTATGGTGCAGCAATGCTGTGACGATCAAGGTCGAGATCAAAAAGCTGGCAGAGAAGACTTGTACAGGACCCCTGGAGGCACTACTAATGCTTGCGGTGATGGTGAAACTGCTCCAGCTAGTTGGAGGAGAAGGTGCTGCTAAGGACTATTGGCAGAGGAAAAGGCATTGGTAGAAGAAAGACATGGAAGAGGATGAGAAAGGTGCTGCTGATGTGGACGGGGGAAGATGCGACAGAAGGGAAGGCGAGACATTCAGGGAGGGAGGGTTGTTTCTATAAGAGGAAAACTTAGGGACAATAAAATTAATCAAGGGTGTTCTTCTCTAGATAGTAAAAAGTACTGATTTGGGCAGGCATGAATCGTGATCAGAAAATTTAGAGGTAGAAACTCAAATTCTGGGCTGAATTGAAAATAATTTGGATTTGGATAAGTTTGAGCCATATTCAAACTTGAGCTGAAAAAAAAATACCAGTCTAGATTCTCCCTTGTTATTTAAACTCATAGGTACATTTGTTTTTTAATACAAGGAATGCAGAATTAATCACAGTTCTTGTAACAATCACTGGCTTTGCAATTAACCTTTTTTTTCTTTCAAGTTTCCCAATAATTCGCTTTGGAAAATATGTAACGACATTTTCTCAAATTTTTTATTAAAAACATTAGGTGGCTTTTTAAGTAAAAGAGACACACACATACAGAGGAATTGGCATGCATATAGGCATGTTTAGTATATCCCCATTGTGCAAGGTGTGAAATGTGCAGAGTAACTGAGACAAAAATTACCAATATAGTTTAGTAATATGAGAATCAGCAGTCTTGTCCTCCTCACTACCAGTTTTCCTTGGAAGGGGAGCAAAGCCACCAAAGAAACCCCAAAATTCTCCAGTTTCAGGATCAGCCATTAGTTTCCCATCCTCTATATGGAAGGCAAGAAATCAGGCTCAAAAAAAGCAACAGACATTCAATAATCAATTTCAAAAGTTTCACTTACCAATGGCAGCTACATCACATTTCCCATCATGGTAAGTATCCTTAATATACTGGACAACTTCAAGTGCTTTTGCCCTCTCTTGAATAGACGAGTTAGAACCATTAAATTGAAATATCTTTGACTTAGTATCAAGAATAAAAATGTCATCGTGGTTCAGAGATGATCGGGAGAAGGGCACCTGTCATCAATAGCGAAAATATCAGCTTCAAAAGAGCACATATATCAGAAGTCACTAACAGTAGTGAATCTAAGCCCGTTGACTTGCCTCTTTCACATGGACAACATGTTTTCCTCTGCAGACAAATAAACGTGTCTTATGTTCCTCAGCCTCTGCATGTTTGAACCCAGATGCAACTCCACCTTCTTGAGGTATAATACAAGGCTTAAAGTATGACAAGAATTTCTCTGTTTCATGGCCCTGGACTTCACGATATTGCACAGCACGCCCTCCAAGAGCTGCATCCAGTTCAACTGTCTTGACAGCAGCTGTACCCGCTTCATCCTAATTTAAAAAAGACAAGGTTACAAAAATATTTTTTTTGCACTAAAATCATTGTACGAAACACTCATAAACATATTAGAAAGAACTAACCTGACTGGTATCTTTACCAAGCCAATAGTGGATATCATGACGTAGTGCACCACTTTTTGAGGCTGTGGTCTGCACAAAAGAAGGTTAAATTCCAAGTCAAGAGTTGCACACAAGGGAAGGCTGTATATAAAACATTCAGATGACTAATTGCAGAGTCTACATGCATTAGTTCATATTACTCCCTCAAAGCTATAATCTGTTTTGACAAAAAGCAAAGACTACATGTCAAAGAGCAGAGTTTCACAGCTTAAAGCCTCCACATGCTTTTTTAAATATAAAAAAAAAACACCTGATCTGCTTTACAAGCCTTTTTTCCCATTATTATCATAATTGTTTATTGATCAACAAAAACAAAGAGGTTAGTAAGAAACATGTTAAGCACTTACATTCTGAACCCCATAATAACTTCTACCATAGTCATATCATTCAATCTTTAAAATGAATCTAGGCAAGATAACTAACAGCTTAGCTAATTTTTTCGAGAGAAGCAGTGTAGCTGCCGCCACTGCACTGTGCCAGTAGCCTATTTCAGATGCAGAGTAAATCATAAAACAAGAAGAACAGATTAAAACAAAAAAGCAAAAAAACTTACCTTTAAAACTATGTAGGAATCCCCAGTGAAAAATTTGCCATGGGAGGACTTTGGGACGGCAACAGGGCGAAAATTTTCAATGCGCCATATTTCAATTCCACTGTAAATTTTTAAGGACTACAAGCAAGACAGAGATCAACCAAAAGCAAACATCCAAGACTCAGTTGCAGCAGATATAATTATATTATTGTGTTTGGGAGCAGTCACATTGTCAAGCTGTCACAACATGATTGGAGTGTTCATATCATGACCTGTCCACCATTTACCTCTAGCAAAAATTTGATGAACAAATAAAGCTCTCAGACTAACAATTTATAAGCAGAAACTCATGAGCATAAAATCATGGGTGACGATGATTCATGTTAAAAATGTTGCTTAATTAAAGGATACGCTTTCTGCCCAGCTCCCTGGAAAGCTGAATCTAGATCTCTCATGGAAACAGCCATACTTTTTTTGCAGCTTTAACTTTTCCTTAGAAGTGTAAAATTACCCTGAAACAAATTTCCATTTGACTGGGAATCAAAAGGAATAACACAATAAATTTCCATATACGTGTGTGGGAGGAAGGCCAAAAAGGCAGCAGATAAAAACCTAGCTCAAAACATCATCTCAAAGCAAGTCCATTAAAGAGATCCCAAAAAATATGACCAACCAAAATAAACTGACACAAGATCTGTTCATTTGACTCAGAATTAAGCAAAAAATACATGCACTGCCTATATTATTGTAAACTTGCTTTCATATAATGTCTTCCTCATGCAGACTGATTAGAGATACTGTCTTCTAAAGTAAAAGATTCTTTACTAGAGATGATTTATCAATGGTAAGAAACCCAGTGTCTGTCTATCCTAGCATGGCAGTTAATTCACCAGCTATCCATTCCTTTTGTTCTCTCAAACATAAGATAATGGTGTATAGTTCCAAGTCAATTCAATACCTACTTATCCAGTCCTAGTCTAATAGATATAACATATACCCACGCTTTAGCAAAGGCCAAAAGGACAGGTCAAGTGTTGGAAATCCAATACTTACCTATTCTAGCATGGGCAGACAGTTCCTCATTTTCAAACATGACACTGTAGTATATTCCCTGTTCAATACAATAAACATTTTGATACCAGCAAAAGGCAAAGTCAACTTAAGCGTTCATACTCCTCAAATGTTCATACCTTCGCTAAAGCTTAAAAGGAAAGGTAAGGGCAGGAACCAGATTCAATGCTAGCAGCTACAGGAAAGCTAACTCTCAAAAATGATATATTTAACAAACCCATAATCAAGCTTTTCTCCATCCACACCATTTCTACTTGAAATTTATAGAACTTCACATTCTCCAAGCTACACAGTTCAACCAACCACAGTAACTAAATTTGATATCTAAAAACCAGCTTTGCGATACTATATGATAAGTTATTGTCAAAAAGATATGTACAAATATCAACTCCGAATAGAAATTTAACCCCTATTTCCAATACACTCTTTCTAACCAGTAGTACCAAAGCTAATTGCATTTCTGCCCATGCCAAATGAAATATTACACAAATGCCAGCCTAAGACAAAGTAGAAGAGGGGGAAAAAAAACTAACACTTGCAAATGATAGTTAAAATTCAAAAAGAAGCAATTAAAACTTAGTAAATTAACATATGAAACATCAACTTCCCCAACCCAAAAAGAGAGGAAAGGGGAAAAAAATTCAAACATAAAAGATAATTATGAAGATTTGTTCGCAGGGAGAAGAGGCAAGTCTCTCAGAAAGTGAAGCAGATCCCACTGAAGAACTACATAAACACGTGTCAATTATATATGTATTTCATATACACTAATGAAAATGATGTTGGAAATCCAACAAGGGAAGCTCCATCAAATCAAAGTTAATGCCTATATATATCCCAGCTTCCAAAATATCGCAAATTGACACCATGTAAGCCCCCCAGAAAAAAGCATGCTCATTCAAATTCGCATGACCAGACAAGCGAAACTTCACCAAGGGCATAAACAGGTGCAGAATAAGCAGGGAACAGACAATAAGACGCCCCTAAATCCATGGTAGATCAATCTACAAAACTCAATCCGAATCACACCAATCCACCAATCCACCAATCAGATCAATCCGTCGATACAACAAAAACCCAAAAAGAAAAGCAAAAAAAGCAAATCGATTTCAATGTTCATTTCTCTAAAATTCATGGAAATGAACATTAATTCCGGATACCCAGAAGGCAAACACCAGTCAAAATTAAGAATTTTACTAAAAAAAAGTGGAAAAATCTCCGAAATATAGTCGAAAATACCTGGTTTTGAAGAATATAATCCAATTCTCAGCACGACCCAGATCCAATCTAACGAAGAAAAATTAGACAGAGAAAATTATACGGTGATTTTTTTTCAACAGACCAAAGAAAAGTCGAGAAGAAAGAAAGGGAGAGAAAAAGGGGGAAAGTGGGGCTCTCTAAAGAAGCAGAAGATAGCTCATCAAGGTTTTAGAAAGAGAAAACGAGGTGAAGACTGTAGAGAAATTAAAGTTAGAGAGAGAAAAACATATAGAGATAGAGAGAGAAAGAAGGGTGGGTTGGAGGGAAATGATGAGTGCCAGGCGTGCTTATCACTAACGGCAACAAAAGCCAAGCCACCCCACAAGAACAGACATGAACTGTAAATTGCAATAAACTATTTATATACACATAAACATGCGTGTATATACATGTAGTTATGTACTAATCAAACGACCCAATTAATAAAAGAAAATAATTAATTAAATCTCTTTAATTGTTTAATAATTACGTATCATCTGTTTTCAGTTCCAAGCTAGAAAATCAAACCAACTACACCTTACAAACAAAAACATTTTCTCACGAAATTCCAGCAGATAAAAAGAAAAAGATAGGTTCTTTACTGTTTATATTGTTGGGTTTTACACCATTTGACAAAACAGCACCGTAGGAGAGAGGAAAACACCAATATAACCATAATTTACCATCTGGGTATTCCTTGAAAGGCGAATCAAAGAACAGTAAAAGCTTAAAAATGTTAAAAATTTTAAAAAGAATAGAAAAAAAGGAGACACCTTTATGTGTTTGTTTGTGTCAAGCATCTCCCTTACAGGTAAACTTTGTTGGTGTTGCTGGTGTCAGATTCCTTCCACATTAATGTAAGGGTGTGTATCTTTGTATTTTCTATATTTTTCAATAAATTAACAAAAATTTCTAAGAAAAATTGGGAAGAAAACGGAAGGAAAAAGAAAAATTGGGAGTAGAGGAAAAGACTATAATTAGATTAGCGATGAGTTAGCGATGGAGAGAAAGAGCTGACCTTGCCGATTGAAAGGGAGAAAAAGAGGAAGAAAGTCGGTCACCGGCCATTATTCATGCATTGCCATAAAGGCAAAAAAGGTGGGGCTTCATACAAGGACTTTCTTTCTTCTCTCCCTACAATACACACATTTTCTCAATTTTTTTCTTTTACTTTTTATTTTCCAATATGATTAAGAAGAAAAAATTATTTACATTTAGTTTGACTGTAAGATAAAGGTAAATTTTTTAAGAGAGATGTTTTAAAATTAAATTTATATGAAAATTTATATGAAACTAAAATAATTATTATGTTTTGATAAATTTAATGAAAATTATAAGGACAATGTCTTAATTTTAGACAGAATTTTCTGATATTTTAAATATAATTTTATTTCAAACACAACTTAAAATGATTCTCTCAATTTTAACCCATATATATTAATAACAAAGTATAAATATACCCAAAATGCTGTAAATTAGTGTTCAAATAAGTAAATTTTCCCTCAAATTTCTTTTATACTATGATTGTAAATCTTCTAAATTATGCGTTAACATATTTTATTATGTTGTGAATCCTTAATTAAAAAAATTTTAATCTTTTAAAAAATATTCATTTTGTTAAAATATATAATAATTTATTAAATTAAATACTATTATTGAAATACTCACAATATTTTTAATAAAATTTAAATTCATAATTTTAAATAAAACTACAAAAATGTTAATCCCTAAATTAATATATTATTAGTAATACATAAATAATTAGTCTTCACTAATTTCATGTAATCTTTTTATAGAAAATCATGTTATAATAATTCAGGGATAACTATACCAGAATAGTTTATTTCAGTCGGTAACAAAATGTATTTTTTATTTTGATTATTTAATAAAATAATATTTAAGAATTTAAAAAAAAAAATCTGAAAGATTCTTCGTAAAAAATCGTGCATACAATAAAATCCTGTTCTTATTTAATTCCAAATCATGCCGCCGATGTGGTCCAAACAGAGCCGCCAGCAGCAACCACATTGAGTCTGGAGGCTGCTTACAAAATGATTACATACTGAATTTAATTGAGAAATGTCATTTGAGTTTTCTGATTTAATATTTATTATATAAATATTTTTAATCAATTTTTGGATTTTTGAACTACAAATTATTTTAGGTTTAATTCTGATAATTTTAATTTAAATTTCAAAAAAAAAACATGAGAAGTAATTTTATACGTTATGGTTTTTTATTTAAAAAATTCACAGCACCACGAAAAATAACAACGGTATAATATTTTTATTAAGTTCCTTTTGGACTGTTAAACTCGTTGCGTGTGTATATCAAGCATGGAACTATATATAATAAATAAATAAGTAAATATCGGTCATAGAAAATATTGTCAAAGTCAATAAAGATTATGAGAAAGAATTTTATTTATTATGTAATTGTTTAATTTGCTTATTCTATTTTTTTTTTTTTGTATGTTGTAATAGTCTAGATATAGGAGGGAGAATGGACGGTTGAGATTAGATTGGGCATTCAACGGTTTGGATTTGAGGTTAGGCTGAGTATAAAAGGGGGATCGGGCTGAGAAAGAAAAAGGAAAAAAGAATCGGAGTGCGCGAGGAAGAGAAGGAACCAAGTAGGGCGAGAGATGATCAAAGAGAAGTTTGCTGAAAGGGGGTGAGGTTGTAGTAGAGTTTATGAGACAAAGGAGTATGGAAGTGAGATGTAAGAAAAATTTGGAATTTCAAACTTAATTAGGGTCACACACTGTGAAATCTTATGTTGCAGGTTAGCTAAGATGCACCGAGATAGGAAGACAGAAGTATGTGTGTAGCACCCGGAAAGGAGGAAAAAAAAAAA